ACACAACACTAAGGACTGACAAACACTAAGAACTGACAAACACAACACTAAGGATTGAGAAACACAACACTAAGAACTGACAAACACAACACTAAGAACTGACAAACACAACACTAAGAACTGACAAACACAACACTAAGGACTGACAAACACAACACTAAGGACTGACAAACACAAAACTAAGAACTGACAAACACAACACTAAGAACTGACAAACACTAGGAACTGACAAACACAACATTAAGAACTGACAAACACAACACTAAGGACTGACAAACACAACACTAACAACTGACAAACACAACACTAAGGACTGACAAACACAACACTAAGGACTGACAAACACAACACTAACAACTGACAAAAACAACACTAAGGACTGACAAACACAACACTAAAAACTGACAAACACAACACTAAGGACTGACAAACACAACACTAAGAACTGACAAACACAACACTAAGAACTGACAAACACAACACTAAGAACTGACAAACACAACACTAAGGACTGACAAACACAACACTAAGGACTGACAAACACAACACTAAGAACTGACAAACACAACACTAAGAACTGACAAACACAACACTAAGAACTGACAAACACAACACTAAGGACTGACAAACACAACACTAAGAACTGACAAACACAACACTAAGAACTGAAAACACAACACTAACAAACACAACACTAAGAACTGACAAACACAACACTAAGAACTGACAAACACAGCACTAAGAACTGACAAACACAACAATAAGAACTGACAAACACAACACTAAGAACTGACAAACACAGCACTAAGAACTGACAAACACAACAATAAGAACTGACAAACACAGCACTAAGAACTGACAAACACAACACTAAGAACTGACAAACACAGCACTAAGAACTGACAAACACAACAATAAGAACTGACAAACACAACAATAAGAACTGACAAACACAGCACTAAGAACTGACAAACACAACAATAAGAACTGACAAACACAGCACTAAGAACTGACAAACACAACAATAAGAACTGACAAACACAACACTAAGAACTGACAAACACAGCACTAAGACTGACTGACAACAACAATAAGAACTGACAAACACAACACTAAGGACTGACAAACACAACACTAAGGACTGACAAACACAACACTAAGGACTGACAAACACTAAGAACTGACAAACACAACACTAAGGATTGACAAACACAAAACTAAGAACTGACAAACACAACACTAAGGACTGACAAACACAACACTAAGGACTGACAAACACAAAACTAAGAACTGACAAACACAACACTAAGAACTGACAAACACTAGGAACTGACAAACACAACACTAAGAACTGACAAACACAACAATAAGAACTGACAAACACAACACTAAGAACTGACAAACACAACACTAAGGACTGGCAAAACACACTAAGGACTGACAAACACAACACTAAGAACTGACAAACACAACACTAAGAACTGACAAACACAACAATAAGAACTGACAAACACAACACTAAGGACTGACAAACACAACACTAAGAACTGACAAACACAACACTAAGAACTGACAAACACAACACTAAGAACTGACAAACACAACACTAAGAACTGACAAACACAACACTAAGGACTGACAAAACACAACACTAAGAACTGACAAACAAAACACTAAGAACTGACAAACAAAACACTAAGAACTGACAAACACAACACTAAGAACTGACAAACACAACACTAAGAACTGACAAACACAACGCTAAGGACTGACAAACACAACACTAAGAACTGACAAACACAACACTAAGAACTGACAAACACAACACTAAGAACTGACAAACACAACACTAAGGACTGACAAAACACAACACTAAGAACTGACAAACAAAACACTAAGAACTGACAAACAAAACACTAAGAACTGACAAACACAACACTAAGGACTGACAAACACAACACTAAGGACTGACAAACACAACACTAAGGACTGACAAACACTAAGAACTGAAAAACACAACACTAAGGATTGACAAACACAACACTAAGAACTGACAAACACAACACTAAGGACTGACAAACACAACACTAAGGACTGACAAACACAACACTAAGAACTGACAAACACAACACTAAGAACTGACAAACACAACACTAAGGACTGACAAACACAACACTAAGGACTGACAAACACAACACTAAGAACTGACAAACACAACACTAAGAACTGACAAACACAACACTAAGAACTGACAAACACAACACTAAGGACTGACAAACACAACACTAAGAACTGACAACCACAACACTAAGAACTGACAAACACAACACTAAGAACTGACAAAACAAAACACTAAGAACTGACAAACACAACACTAAGAACTGACAAACACAACACTAAGAACTGACAAACACAACACTAAGGACTGACAAACACAACACTAAGCACTGACAAACACAATACTAAGAACTGACAAACACAACACTAAGAACTGACAAACACAACACTAAGAACTGACAAACACAACACTAAGGACTGACAAACACAACACTAAGAACTGACAAACACAACAATAAGAACTGACAAACACAACACTAACAAACACAACACTAAGGACTGACAAACACAACACTAAGAACTGACAAACTAAGAACTGAGAAACACAACACTAAGGACTGACAAACACAACACTAAGGACTGACAAACACAACACTAAGGACTGACAAACACTAAGAACTGACAAACACAACGCTAAGGATTGACAAACACAACACTAAGAACTGACAAACACAACACTAAGGACTGACAAACACAAAACTAAGAACTGACAAACACAACACTAAGGACTGACAAACACTAGGAACTGACAAACACAACACTAAGAACTGACAAACACAACAATAAGAACTGACAAACACAACACTAAGAACTGACAAACACAACACTAAGGACTGACAAACACACACTAAGGACTGACAAACACAACACTAAGAACAGACAAACACAACACTAAGAACTGACAAACACAACACTTAGAACTGACAAACACAACACTAAGGACTGAAAAACACAACACTAAGGACTGACAAACACAACAATAAGAACTGACAAACACAACACTAAGAACTGACAAACACAACACTAAGGACTGACAAACACAACACTAAGAACTGACAAACTAAGAACTGACAAACACAACACTAAGGACTGACAAACACAACACTAAGGACTGACAAACACTAAGAACTGACAAACACAACACTAAGGATTGAGAAACACAACACTAAGAACTGACAAACACAACACTAAGAACTGACAAACACAACACTAAGAACTGACAAACACAACACTAAGAACTGACAAACACAACGCTAAGGACTGACAAACACAACACTAAGGACTGACAAACACAACACTAAGGACTGACAAACACTAAGAACTGACAAACACAACACTAAGGATTGACAAACACAACACTAAGAACTGACAAACACAACACTAAGAACTGACAAACACAACACTAAGAACTGACAAACACAACACTAAGGACTGACAAACACAACACTAAGGACTGACAAACACAACTATAAGAACTGACAAACACAACACTAAGGACTGACAAACACAACACTAAGAACTGACAAACACAACACTAAGGACTGACAAACACTAAGAAATGACAAACACAACACTAAGAACTGACAAACACAACACTAAGAACTGACAAACACAACACTAAGGACTGACAAACACAACACTAAGGACTGACAAACACAACACTATGGACTGACAACCACAACACTATGGACTGACAAACACAACACTAAGAACTGACAAACACAACACTAAGGACAGAGTAAAAATCAAATTTGCTGCCATGGAGACGGACAAAACATAAATTCTTAATTCAAGTAACACAAGGCGCCGTTCAGCAACGGTCTTGAGTGCACGAGTTTCATGAAAGAATACGTATAAGAGATATGGCCCAGTCAAACACACCACAAAATTGTTGTCATGGAAACATGAAATAAGTAATTTTCTTAAATTCCTTACGAGCAAAAGGCACCACTTCAACCGTTGGTTAATACATTGTATCCAGTTTGGATGAAAAGTGTCCGCAAACAAAATCCACCCCCTCCTTTTTTAGACTAAGTCCACAACGTTTCCATGGATATTTGTCAAATGCTATAAATCCGCAGATAGCAAAGGGCACCACTTCGGATCTGTTTGATAAACAGGGGGATAAAAAGATGTTGAAACCCTGAAATAGTTATCCCTTGCAATGAAAAAATCAATACAGTCAAGCAGGACACGTCTGACTGTGATTCTAACATCACAAGGGTACAAAACGGAGGATCATCACCTTGAATACATTTTCATGAGTATATCTTGTATGATAAATGCGAAATCGTCACATAATGACCTCTTCAAATCTGGACTGACAACCCAAGTATGTATAGACGGTTTTATTTCATGTAATGTATTTACACCTACTTGGGTGTCCCACTTCTTTATCGTTAGATCACGGATGTAAGATCTAATTACAGCTTTAAACTTGGAGTATGGAATGAAAAGTGGTGTCACAAATTTAACGAGTGCTGCTTTAGCAGCAGAATCGGCCATTGTGACAACATATATTTTAACATGGCAGGGTAATAAAGGGCGATGTCATAGTAGGGGCGTCTATTCAATATATTTAAGATCTATTAGATCTGACACTTTTCCTACACATCTTAGATGGGGCGACAATGCGACAACGGGACATATTTTGACCTTGAAAATTGTCGCTATGTCGCCCTTTGAATGAATAAGAAAATATTATTCAAAACGACATAGCGACAATGCTACAAATGGCCGAAATGTCGCATTGTCGCGCTTTGGTTAATTTTGCCTCTTTTTGCTTGTTTTAGAGAGGGCGACAATGCGACAACGCGCCAATGTCCCTTCTATGATTCCATGCGATATCTGACTTCTAGCAGAGAAGTGTGGGACTGTCCACGTTAAATGGTCAATGCTGATGGTGGTGTATATTGTGTAATGTCGGATGCTGCTGCTGCTACACTGCAATCGATGGCGGAAGGCTTTGCTCCAGAACAATGATGGATGTTGTAACCTGGATGGGATAGCTTTAACAAGAGATAATTATATTTGTCAAGTTATCGCGGTTTGACATACCTGGGATACATCCATGCTCAACTTTGGGGTCACATGCACCTGAAGACCAGAAATGAAATGAGATGTATTGATTCTGTTTAACCATTCTATGTTCATGTGTCATGACTGCTGTGAAGCATAAGTCAACATAACGCCACCGTAATTAGGGAATCCATATTTATTGTCAAAGACAGGATTTCCGGCTATGATGTTTGGGGGGCATGCATGCATCTGTTAAGGCAAATGTGTGGGTTATTGTAAAGACATGTTAAGTTATGTGATCACGGCAATACGTAACACACAATGACAGATTAACAGAACTGTACACTATACACTTGAACTACTAATTGGAATTTGTATTGGTAACTCTATGAAATGAGTACAGAATAGATTTACTTACTTGCCTTCTTCTTTTTAATGCGCCTAAAACAGAAATGAAATATATGAGAAACAGTTATTCATAAAATCAATGTTATTAAATGTAAAATCCTTCGGGACACTTTTCTTTGCCAACAGTATTCTAAGCTTCCTGAAACCAATAAGTCTCCAGATGACTGTCTTGAGGTTTTGTAAACTAGTTCAACATTGAATGGGAGTAATTGGCAATACTACATCAGCTTCGACTGCAGTATTTGTAACAGGACAGCTTGCAACCCTATTTACAGGCATGTCACTATGAATCGTGTTTGGTGATCAAGATTGCATCTCATAATTATTCAGTCGACATGTAAGTGTATCAAATAAAATACAGTTTGTTTAACTTTCACAACTTATTTATAATTACTTGATAGTGAAAAAATGAAAGCGAAAAACTCAGTGAACACTACAAGGACTAGTACTGGAATCTGAATATGCGAAATGTTTCAAACAAATATAAAGCATACGCTGAGCATGTACATCAACACATGTAAAATGTATAAATCAGTCTTTCATTGAAACCTAGCATTGATATCGCTAAGCGGGCATTTAGGTCTCCACATAGTCTGTAATGTCTGCCCCAGTTGAATGAGTTCCGACTCGTCTTCTGTGTAGTCAATCTCACAGAGTCTCTGGGAGATCATGTCATCCTTCAGAGATCTGATTCTCATGTCAGTTTGCAGATACTTCCTCTTCCTGACAGGCCCTCTGCAATGTCCTTGGATCTGCTGGATCTTAACCTCAGCCACTGACTCTTCGTCCTGAGTGAGACGTACGGGCTCATAGATGTTCGGATGGGCTTTGTTTATTTGTTTATTTTGTGGTGCCAGCCTTCAATATTGTTGTTGGTAGTAAGTCCATCATTATGAAAGTGGTTCCACATAGACAGTGGAGCACTAGCGATGGTGTGTACCCAAACGTCTTCAACTTTGTCCTCGGGCACAAGGGAGAAGTGCAGCCGCACAAGGTTGGTTACATCCTCATAACGTTTGTATTCAGTTGCTAATCCGATCTTTTGGACACGACGCCAGATACTGTATGCAGTGGAAAAAACAACCACTTATCTGGGTCCCAGGGAAGACCGCAGCAACAGCATTGTGTGACGGTCTTCAACGTAAGTGACAAGATTTACATTTATAGCATTTGATTATTTGCATGTTTCGCTTTACCATTGAGCATTAAGATATTGAAAAAATACAAGAAAGACTTATTATGTTTACTTCGATGCTTTAGGTCTCATTTCCAGGAAACCAGATGTTGCCGCTGATGGTCCTGGTAGATTGGCGTGGAATCACTCCACACTGAGGTGCCAGGACCACAAATCATGTCGAAGGCTGGCATGCAAGACTGAGCCAAATTGGCCAGAACCATCCCAATATATATAGATTCATTGATCTTATTCGGAAAGAGCAGAGGCACACTGAGACGACAATAGTTCAGATTATACATGGTGTTAAGCAGGCCCTCAGGAAGAAGTGTCGAGGCCTTGATGATGACATCCTGCGTCGGAAGATTCTACTTGCAATTGATGTCAAAACTGCGATGGAATTTGCTGATTCCATGTCAGTTAGTTGGACTTTAATTGTAATGTTAATCAGTGCTAACATAAATGTAGTTAATGCAGTGCTATGAAGTTCACTCCTCATTTTTTCTTGTAAAGTTTTGATTCGTTTGTATGAGTGTGTGTGTATATGCATAGTTAATATAAATTGCATATTTTTTAAAATAAGTACTATTGAATATGTTACTGTGTTGAAGGATAAAGGTTAGCCACAACTTTGTCTCAGAGGCTTATACTGATACGGTCCCCCAGTAATCCCTTTGTATTGCTATTTGACATCTCTGACTGAACAGTAATTATGAACAAAAGTTGCCTGCACAATGAGGAGACCCCGTGCACTAATCTATCGGAGGTACTCCACCTTGTGTATTTCCCTCGTGATATTCTTCCCTGGTGATATCCCTGAATTTGACGATAACAGCCAAAGGATGCTCTTATCAAGACACAATTCACTTTTAACCTTGACCCACTACACTCTCGAGAGGCACGTCCGAACAAGCTTGTCAGCATTGTAAGTGTAATGAAGAGTGACTATGACTTTTAGTTGAGGTGTGTCTTTTGTCACGATTAATGGGATCGTATGTCTAAGATGTCTGACGTGGCTGATGCCGTCACCCTGTCCCTGATGTGTGGATCGATGTTCGAGATATGAATCAGTGGATTGTCTGGTTGATTGTCAGCTAGTATTTGATTGTGAATGAATTAAGACTACTGTCATAAAGCTGGAATATTGCTAATTATAGCGATAAACAGCAAATGAACAAAACAAGCAACTTGTTAGAACTTACCATATGAAGATAATCACAGCACAGGCAAAGCCCACAAGGATAAGGACAAGTATTGTTACAACAACTGGAATGACGATCTGGGATTTGCTTGTCGGTGCCTCACCTGTGGTAACGGTTGTATGACTGCTATAGGTAGTACCTGCACAGTGATAAGCGCATTAATGGGAACGTGAACACATGCAAATCCTCAACATTTTATTGCAAACAAAAGACACGAGAGCGGTTAAGCAGGTATTATATATCTTATCCACACATCGTAGAAATATTTTATACATGACACTCTGAAAATTGTATATCTATCAAAGGACAAAACAGCTTTTGAGTCAAATGTATCAAGATTATATTGCAAATGTCATCTTTAATTTGCCATCGTTCGCATTATACGTTCACCTTCCTTTTATCGTATTATAATGTTTCAAACTTCTTAACCTTGATGCACGACGGTACTCTCTTGGGAAGTCTCACAGAAGTCACCCATGTGATTTTCTATACAGCCTCGAGTGCAGTGCCCATTGTGCTGATTACAGGTGTGGTCTTTGCAATTTCTGCTGCATGGTCGATCACACAGGTCACCGTACACTCCCACTTTGCATCCTTCAAGGCATTTTCCAGTTTCTTTGTGACATTGCACTATGCTATTTGGAAAAGTTTTACAGTTTTGAGAACAATTTTGACCACAACCATCTCCATATTTTCCAGGCTCACATTTCTCTTCACTATGTACAGTCTGACCTGAAATACGTTAAAAGAGATGCACATTTTCAAGTTTTGTCATTGCACAGAGTACATGACATGTCCCTTAAGACATTCTTTAATGTAAGGACAATTAGGCCAGAAATCTGAACGTAAAATAATTAAGTGTGAAACCAACAAGAACGAAATTTTTCACAAAGGAATTTAACAATAAGATTACCCTAGCTTACAAATCAAGCCAAACTAATGCAAAGAAATTACAATAGCACACCGAGTTAAATGCCAGTACAAATAATAGCAAAATAAGATAAATGCAGTGCATATATAAGTAGACACAATAATGGCAGCATTGGTCAATCTTCCAAAATAGGCCTGTACTGGGAATTCGGGCTTTGTTCCGCGACGCAATCGTAGCGCTACCACAGATGGAAACGTCTGGAAAACGTTTTGTTACCTAAGCGCTACGATCGCGTCGTTTGACAGGGGCAGAAATTACAATAGCACATCAAGTTCGACGACAGTACAAGCAGTGCTTATGTAAATAGACACAATGATAATAACAGAGGGTAATCTTCCAAAATAGGCCCAGGATGGGAATCCAGGGTGAAAAGGTCTACAATGCTGGGCTTTGTTCAACAACGTGATGGTAGTGCTACCCCAAACGTAAGTATGTTTAAGTCTGGGAGAGTTTTACCTCTGACCCTAACCCTTACCTAAGCGCTATGCTCGATGTTTGATAGATAGTATGGTGGATTAGATATTGCTGGATTAATCTATGCAGTTCTAGAAACTTCCATATTACCCTTAGACTCCCTTTCTATATATAGTAATTATCACACAACTGCCTTCAACTGATCTTCGCAGACAAATGTTTTTAAAGTAATCCTCTCTCACGACTTGCACCTCTCTCTCTCGCTTCGAATTTAGTGGAACGAGTGTAAACTTTTTTCCATAGGCTCCCTTGTCCATTCGCCCGTACACTCCATTCTGGTCTCCTTAATCATCCCCTGACATATCTCACGATTGAATGAGCTCCGATCTTAACCCTTTTGAGCACATCTGGGAGACGCTTGGTCGTCGTGTGCAACAAAGGTATCCTCCTGTAGAGAACCAATTGGAAGCTGCTTTACACGAGGAATGGCGTAAAGTGCCCATTCAGAGGATCAGGAGGCTGACAGGGGGTAAGAGGAGGAGACTGCTGGCTGTCATATAGTCACATTGACTTTAAATCGTGTAAGACACGCAAAATGACATTTTGAATGTTCACATTCACCAATGAATTCAACATTAAACATTCCAGGACCATACTTGTACAGATATTGTTTTGTATGAAAATCATTGGGGATTTTTAAGTGAGCAATTATCATCATAAAATCAATGGGGATTCCAATCATTTTGTCGTTTTTATGAGTCAAAGGATCATACGGGTCAGAAAAACTCATGTTTTTCATTGTGGTCAACATGAGAGGTTTTATGTAGATGTTGAAAACCTATGATATCATTCAATATGTCAAACATCACAGCGGGGGCTGGTCCACGCTACCCCATTGCTTCTTGTCTTGCATGAGAGGTATTTCTTTCCATCCAAGGTTTCATCCAGAATATCGATGTTGTCTGCTGTGAATAAAACAAATCTGTTTGGTATGAGGTTTGGTGGTATGACAAACCCAGTGGTGTGATTCATTGTTTTCAACGTTGATTCTGCCAAGGATGTGTCAAGTCGCACGACCTGCTTGCAACTTGATGTATGTCCTGCTTTGGGAAATAATTGAACAAGATCTTTAGATTTCGTAACTGGATGAGGTGTACATACAAATGATTAAGGAACATCTGGACACTGTCCGGTATACAATTGACGGCACTTTGTTCATAAACCCCAACACCAGTATGACATGGTGTGTCTATCAAGTCACCCCGAAGTTTCAAAGCAACATGAACTAATTCATGGAAGATGTCTTCATGACGGTCGTAAATTGGCCTTGTCAGATTTTCATCAGCCTCTGCTATTTGAGAGCGATTTAATCTGTGGCGATTACATTGTACCAAGCAGGTACAAGTAACGTTTGGCGATCAGTAGAAGATCCATATGTCTGCACAAATGTAATCAATTCTGCAACGTGAACATGAAGCTTTTCCCTGAATGGCGCCTGTCGATTTACTAACGATTCGGTAGTGGAAGTGTTGGATTTGACTGCTAGTTGTTCGTACCGTTTCCAGACATCGCTCAGCCTGAGAACATGAACATTATCTGCTGCATAACTCAACTCAGAGATGAACCATGTCATTGGTGGGCCTGTGGTACTGTCATTAGCATTATTAAGACAAGACAAATGGTATTTAGCTTCGGAGACAATTAGGCCTTTTACATCAGCAAGTTTACAAGTCAAGCACTGGTCAAATCGAGAAGCTTCCATAATATCAGAGTTGGTGTTTGATATCATCAAGGAAAAGAGATATTGTTTCAAGTTAAATTCTTGACAAAACATACATTTCTTCCAGTCAATGGGGTTTGAACATGAGGGTTCACTTCCAAACTGAAAATGCAGTTTATTCTTCATTTTATTGTATTTTATTTGCCCTTATTGAAAGTAGATACATTATTCCATTAAGAATTTACGAAAATAAAATGTCAAAGGAGGAATACTTACAATAATTGCACCAGCAAGGAAGATGTCTTAACATGTCTTAGAAAGGCAACCATCAAAAGTAAACGACCATTCATTTTTTTGAATTGTCAAACTACCACCTATTGTTTAAAAAAAACACATTCAAAACAATTACCACTGCGCTCAATAATATTTCATAATGTGTTGCTGACCATATGAAATATCTAACAGCTAAAACATTTTGTTAACAACGTATTCCTAATAATCTATGACAATTTTGATAAAATACATGTAACAAATAATTCTGGGATGAAATAATGTTGTTAACGAAATCCAACTGAACTATTGCTGTTAATGAAAGGCAGTTCTGTACCTTGTGGTGACAACAATATTAACATTTTACTTGTACAGTGGTCATTTATACATCACAATATACCGATGTAAGCATTCAGTATTTTTCCACCAAAAAGGTGATTTGGAGGCCATTTTGTTCTTTAATTTTGACGTATTAAACATTTTTTTTTACAGTTGGTATACAATTTATTGGTGATCAGCACCCTTTAAATGTAAAACAGAGGCAGGTTTTAAAAAAAATGAAAATAGATATACAGTCACAGGTGTCGTACAGTCACAAATGCCTCAACTTCCTCTATTTAAGCCTTTTTCCAGAAACGGGCCTAGTCTATCTTGCACCGCGCTGTTTACCGGCGACATGGTGACTGTTATGTTAGGAACTGTGTCCTTGAGGCCGACCGTTTTGGCGGCGGTGGAGTGATGGTTTAGGGTGGGATAACGAGTGCTGGGCGTACACCTTTGCTTGTCATCAATGGAAATTTAATACTGTTTCTCCAGCAGAATGGTCCAGAATTGATCTTCCAGCAGGACAACGCCAAACCTCATGTCGTCAGAGTGGCATAGCAGTTCTTGGCGCATCATAATGTTAACGTCCTTCCCTGGCCCGCTTAATCCCCAGATATGTCCCTGTCGAACACGTTGACGTCTGGGACGAAAGGGAGAGGAGACTGAGACGCTGCCCAAATCCCCAGCCAGGCTCCAGGAACTCCAAGTGCCTCCACAGATATGGAATGCCATTCCACAAGATTTCTTTCGACGTTTGATTGGCTCTATGGGGTGCAGGTGTCAAACATGCATCAATGCTAATGGTGGACATACACGTTACTGACTATGTGAATTTCGTTTTGACCATTCTTTCACTGTGACCTCATTAGAACGTGCCATCTGCAATCCTATTCTGGAATAATTTTCTTGAAATATCAAGAAAAGGTCTCATCATGAAAATAGCAGTTGTTTATTCACATATCTAACGTCGTCAGTCACAATAACTTTTGCTGTAGAGTATATTTTGGGTGCAATTAAAGCTGTGGATCGTCGCATACATTGCAAGTAGGGGACTGAGAGAGACAATACATATTCAATCATATTACAATGTTACTTACTGCATAAAAACACAATTGTTCCATAAATCCACATGTCTTTGCGATTATATTTCCTTTGGAAGATCACCTGTAAAGAAATTAATTGTATTCATTACTGACACAAGTGGCTGAGATGTGCTTCATGGTAAGTGAGCATAGTTAGGCTGTTTGAAATTTAGACGCTGTTAATAGTTGTTCGATTTTTTTTCGTAAAGCGTTAAGAAACAGACAAGATACTCTGTGCGTAATGCTTGGCATCTTTAAAGAAATTGTGAGCCAGCTGAAAACTGCCTGACATCTGATCGACATAACAATATATCGAATGGAGTCTTATGAATATGTATATGCTTATTCATTCAATATATCAATTGGTTGCCATAAATGATGGAAATTGATTTTCCTAT